CGACAGGACGCAGGAATGGCAACACGAGGTGAAGGACCCAGGGGCCAGCGCGGCCATGAACGACAACCATCTTTTGGCTTTGAGCGACGCGCACCACAGACCTCACCTAAAACGTATTTGTTGGACAGCTTGGAGCCCACATGATAAATTTCAGACTCCAGTGCAGGCAGTCAGCCTCCTGACCCATGGAGGAGCAGGTGGGGAGAGGGCGGAGGAGTGGAAGGCAGAGGCGGAGGAGGAGGAGGAGGAGGAGGAGGAGGAGCGAACGTCAACTGGGGAGGAGGAGGAGGAGGAGGAGGAGGAGGAGGAGGAGGAGGAGGAGGAGGAAGAGAAGGAGGAGAGAGGGGGAGCGATCCCTACCACGCCTGTGACTGCACTGGGGCCCATGATCACAACTCGAAGCGCGCTGGCTGAGGTAAGTGGTAATGTTGATGGACGTCGGGAGGCTTCTTATGTGAAGAGGTCACTCGTCCGAGTGGAGCAACACGTCAGGACATCATATTGACAGGTTGTTTGGCGAGGGCTCTGGCGGCATGTCCTGATAACGCTAGTAGATGTGAAGTCCAATTGCATGACTAGGCAAAGAACTGAGTAAGTGCCACGGACCAGCGCGCGGCCAATCGAACAAAGGCAACGTGACTTGCCAACGCGTAGTTATTCGCGCCAACTGGTAGAGAGCATGCTCGACGATACCACTGTCGAACTTATCCTGCATCTCTCGCTGCATCAACACCCGTCGCGGTTGCACTGCTACGAGGAGCGGGTCATTGTCACCAGGTGGCTCGCCAGAAGGCGGGAAGGTCACCCCAACCTTGGAGGCGCCGCGAACTACAAGGGACGACTCGAGGTCACCTGGCGGCTCGTCAGAAAGCGGGACATCCACGAGACCACCACCCAACGAACAACAATCCTTCCAGCTTGCCATGTGGGTCTTGACACCACCAAGGTGGCCGACGTGTCGTTTCTTTGGGCTGCAACGTTCTGTGTGGCGCGCCGCCTGGGACGACTACAAAGGAGGAGGAAAAAGGAGAGCAGTGATGATAATGACGATGATGGTGATGATGGCTATGATGCTGATGCTGATGCTGATGATGATGATGGTGATGGTGGTGGTGGTGATGATGATGCTAATGATGATGGTGATAATGATGCTGATTATGGTTGTGATGATGCTTGTGATGATGCTTGTGATGATGACGGTGATGATGGTGATGCTGATGCTGATGCTGATGGTGATGATGATGCTGATGATGTGATGATGGTGGTGCCGTGAGCGAAACGAGAAGGCTGCACAACTTACTCGCGACGGAGTTCAACGCGTAACGGGCCACGTGGGACACGAGGCGCCACAAGACCCAGGACTCGTTAAAGGCTTAACGACTTCTGCCGTCCTTCGACTCGCGCTGGAGCGGCCGCGAAGTGCTCGAACTTTCCCTGGAGATCTCTGGATTTACCTGGATTTGCCCAGATTTATCTAGATTTACCTGGATTTACCTCGATTTATCTGCATTTACCTGGGTTTATCTGGCTCGATTCTCACAAGTCGATTGGCGAAAAGTCGACAAGCCCTTAGGGAAGGACCCTCCCCCAGAACGGCGCGGCCGATGCACCCGGTGGGGCCGCCACCGCCAGCTTCTCCAGAGCCCAGGCCCGCGCGCGCAGGGACGCGCCGCGGACCACGGCGGAGGACGAGGGAGGGAGGGAGGAGCCAACCGGGAGGGCGGAAGTCTTTTGCCTCGCGGAGCGCACAGCGCAGCCGAGGGGCAGGCACAACGAGTCAGAGTCCTCGTCCGGTAGACCTCTGACAGCAGACCGTACAAGCCCATTTCTTCAGCGTCGGCGGCTCGGCGGAGGATGACTGCGCTGGCGATGGAGGCGATGAGTGGCATGAGCGGGGGTACCGTTGGGCCGACCCTACAAACACAGGTGCGCCAAGCCACACCGAGATGCGGCAGGCCGATGCCCGTACGTCCATGGACGGCTTCATCACCTGTCCTGCGAGCGTCTTATGGAGCGCACTTAGCCGCGGATCGTCGGTCGCGAGCGGGACTGACGCCTCGCATGCGCCGAGCCCCGTCGGGTGGCGGCAAGACCGCCCCCACCCGAGGGTTCTGTTGCTGCTCGGTGCAGGCCGCCGCGAGCCCCACCATGAGGGCGCTGGCGGTCCTGATGATGATGATGATGATGCTGATGATGATGATGCTGATGCTGATGCTGATGCTGATGCTGTTGCTGATGATGATGATTATGATGATGATGATGAGGAGGAGGAGGATGATGCTGATGATGGTGATGATGCTGATGTTGATGATGCTGATGCTGCTGCTGCTACTGCTGCTGATGATGATGGTGATGATGCTGATGATGGTATGATGACGCTGCTGCTGATGGTGCTGCTGCTGCGGACGATGAGTTGGCGACGACGGCGGCGACGACGATTCTGATGGTGATTGTGAAGATGATGACAGCAATGAGGAGGAGGAGGAGGAGGAGGAGGAGGAGGAAGAGGAGGAGGAGGAGGAGGATTAGGACTGGGATGCGCACCCAGGAGGCCCCCAACAAAACCCTGAGAGGTCTGGGTGCGACTCTGGTTCCTGGATAGACTGGTGGGGACACGCGAACCGTAGAGAAGGTCAATGCTCACTTAGTGGCTGTCCAAGCACCCGCCGCCGTGCCCGGAGTGTCCTTGTGCCAGCCGTGACAGACCAGTCCGCACGGTCAGCGTCAGGTCGTCCTCGTCCTTGCCCTCGCCGTCCTCGTTCTCGTAGGTCGGGCATGGCCCCCTGCAGGCGGAGTTTGGACGACAAATCAAAGCATTCCAGCAGAAACAATGAAAATAGTAAACAAATGTCCAAAAGTCGTCCCCAGACTATTTTTTGACCATTTTTCCCTAACAGCGAAGACTGATAGGATTCTAGTAGGGTTAAAAGAGAGCATCTTGACGCCCTGGGGGGGCCTGGGCGCGATCCGGGGATGCCAGGGACTCTTTTTTAGCTAATAGTAACGCACTTCGTGGTCTTCGAGTTCCCAGAACTCCATTCCTGGGCATGATTTTGAATGCCCGGAGCCAACTGTAGGCCACTTCGTGTTCTTCGAGTTCCCAGAATTCCATTCCTGGGCATGATTTTGAATGCCCGGAGCCAACTGTAGGCCACTTCGTGGTCTTCGAGTTCCCAGAACTCCATTCCGGGCATGATTTTGAATGCCCGGAGCCAACTGTAGGCCACTTCGTGTTCTTCGAGTTCCCAGAACTCCATTCCCGGGCCACATTTGCTGAGGCAGGCTGAGGCTGAGGCTGAGGCAGGCTGATGCTGAGGCAGGCTGAGGCTGAGGCTGAGGCTGATGCAGGCTGAGGCTGAGGCAGCTGAGGCTGAGGCCGAGGCTGAAGGCAGACTGAGGCTGAGGCTGAAGCAGGCTGAGGCTGAGGCTGAGGCAGGCTGAGGCTGAGGCTGAGGCAGGCTGAGGCTGAGGCAGGCTGAGGCTGAGGCTCATGCAGGCTGAGGCTGAGGCAGGCTGAGGCTGAGGCCGAGGCTGAAGGCAGACTGAGGCTGAGGCTGAAGCAGGCTGAGGCTGAGGCTGAGGCAGGCTGAGGCTGAGGCTGAGGCAGGCTGGTGCTGAGGCAGGCTGAGGCTGAGGCTGAGGCTGATGCAGGCTGAGGCTGAGGCAGGCTGAGGCTGAGGCCGAGGCTGAAGGCAGACTGAGGCTGAGGCTGAAGCAGACTGAGGCTGAGGCTGAGGCAGGCTTAGGCTGAGGCTGAGGCTGGCTGAGGCAGGCTGAGGCTGAGGCTGAGGCTGATGCAGGCTGAGGCTGAGGCAGGCTGAGGCTGAGGCCGAGGCTGAAGGCAGACTGAGGCTGAGGCTGAAGCAGGCGGAGGCTGAGGCTGAGGCAGGCTGAGGCTGAGGCTGAGGCAGGCTGATGCTGAGGCAGGCTGAGGCTGAGGCTGAGGCTGAAGCAGGCTGAGGCTGAGGCAGGCTGAGGCTGAGGCCGGGGCTGAAGGCAGACTGAGGCTGAGGCTGAAGCAGGCTGAGGCTGAGGCTGAGGCAGGCTGAGGCTGAGGCTGAGGCAGGCTGATGCTGAGGCAGGCTGAGGCTGAGGCTGAGGCTGATGCAGGCTGAGGCTGAGGCAGGCTGAGGCTGAGGCCGAGGCTGAAGGCAGACTGAGGCTGAGGCTGGCAGGCTGAGGCTGAGCTGAGGCAGGCTGAGGCTGAGGCTGAGGCAGGCTGATGCTGAGGCAGGCTGAGGCTGAGGCTGAGGCTGATGCAGGCTGAGGCTGAGGCAGGCTGAGGCTGAGGCAGGCAGACTGAGGCTGAGGCTGAAGGCTGAGGCTGAGGCAGGCTGAGGTGAGGCTGAGGCTGAGCAGGCTGAGCTGAGGCTGAGGCTGATGCAGGCTGAGGCTGAGGCCGGCTGAAGGCTGAAGCGGCTGAGGCTGAGGCTGATGCAGGCTGATGTTGAGGCAGGCTGAGGCTGAGGCTGAGGCTGATGCAGGTGAGGCTGAGGCAGGCTGAGGCTGAGGCCGAGGCTGAAGGCAGACTGATGCTGAGGCTGAAGCAGGCTGAGGCTGAGGCTGAGGCAGGCTGAGGCTGAGGCTGGCTGAGGCTGAGGCTGAGGCAGGCTGAGGGTGAGGCTGTGACTGCGACTGCCGTTGCCACTGCGACTGTCATCGCAAATGCGACTACGACTGCGAGACCAGCAGAATCCTACAACTGGATTTTCATCTGAACCTTAAGGGGAATGCTTCCAGATATGTTCCGACACATCGCTGTTGCCGGGATAATTGGATATTCCTCCTGTATAGGGCCACGCCCGACTTATTCGTCCTCGTCGTCGTCCTCGCCCTCGTCGTCCTCGTCCTCGTCGTCGTCCTCGCCCTCGTCGTCTTCGTCCTCGTCGTCGTCCTCGCCCTCGTCGACGTCCTCACCGCCGTTGCCGCCGCCGCCGTCGTCGCCGTCGTGCGGCTCCGTCCGCGCCGGCCGGCCGGCCGGCTCACTCTGGGAGGGGGGC